CTGCCGTGGGATAAACTCGTGGGATTAACGACAGATGGTGCGCCAGCGATGTGCGGTAAAAAGAGTGGATCTATTGGCAGGGTTCTGGAGAAGATGCGGGAAGAGAACTGTGAAGGTGAGCCAACTGTTTATCACTGCATCATACACCAAGAAGCACTGTGTGGCAAAGCCTTAAAGATGGACCATGTTATGACCACAGTAACACAAGTAGTGAACTAAGAGCCAAAGGTCTAAATCACCGTCAGTTTAAGTCTTTTCTGGAGGAGTGTGGTTCAGAACACGCAGACGTACCGTATCACACAGAGGTGAGATGGTTAAGCCGAGGAAAAGTACTGAACAGATGTTTCGAGCTGCGTGAGGAAATATTTCAGTTTTTGGAAAGCAAGGGGAAGAACACAGCAGAGCTCCGGGAGCAAAAGTTTCTGTGTAAATTGGCCTTTCTGTGTGACATCTTGAGCCACCTCGATGCGCTGAACCTGCAGCTTCAGGGGCGGGGGCGCATCATCACGGACATGTACGCTGCAGTGAGGGGTTTCAAAACTAAACTGTGCCTTTGGGAGAATCAGATGATGCAAGGAGACTTTGGCCATTTTACCTGCTGCCAAACCATAAAAACGCAGATCTCTCCCACCGCGTTCCCATGCGCGCAGTTTTCTGAAAAACTTGGTGTACTCGGTGCTGAGTTTAGGCGGCGATTTGCCGACTTTTATGTCCAGAAATGTAGGTTCCAACTGCTCAGTAATCCCTTTGCAGTTGATGTGGAAAACACACCAACTAACCTCCAAATGGAGCTGATTGAACTCCAGTGTAATGACACGCTGAAGTCAAAATATGATGCTGTGGGCGCCGCACAGTTTCCACAGTTCATCCCTGACACGATGCCTCAGCTCCACATCCAAGTTGCTCAGATGCTCTGCATGTTCGGCAGCACTTATCTATGTGAGCAACTTTTTTCCTCAATGAAGATGACCAAAACATCTCACAGGAGACACATGACGGATGAACACCTGTGCTCAATTCTGAGGATTTCCTCAGCTCAGAGCCTGAGCCCCGACATTGATAAACTAGCATCCAAGAAGAGGTGCCAGGTGTCTGGCTTGGGCACATCAGATTAGATCAGTGTGTACCAAACTGAGCAAAAATTAAAAATTAAAGTTTCCTTTAAGCACTTTTATTGCTATTCCAAGGCATGGCTCTGAATGGTTGATTGATTTATTATTGTTAATTTATTTTTAAAATTATTAGCCTGTGGAAAAAGTTTTTTTTGATATTTAAATTAGAAGGCTGCAAATAGAAAAGAGGCATACGATTTTTATTTATATTTTATTTATTAACCCTTGTGTAATGTTCATATTGTTGTTACTCAGCCAGTGTTTGTGGGTCTGATGGACCCGTTGCATTTTGTGGCTTTTGATGCCTCACAATCAACACTTTTATGTTAAAATACTGAACAGATGTTTACCTTATCCCAATTACAAGCAGTATAAACAATATATATGGTTAATATTTGCCCTTTACCTTTGTTAGGTCACATTTATATGTTATAGGTATGTTCTGTGTACCTACACTCTGTCCTCCTCCTGTCTAGGCCTGCTGTGTGTGTGTGTGTGTGTAGGTGTGTAGGTGTGTGTGTGTGTGTGCGTGCGTGTGTGGGTGCATGTGCGCGTGTGTGTGTGGTACACAGAACATCAATTTCCACACTTCTATTAGCCCCGGGTCCAGTGGACCCGAACATCTTATATGTAATAGAAATGTGTAGGGGGGGGTGTATGGTGTGTGGTCATTAAATATGTATTCTGATATATGTTCTTCACACAAAATGAGCCAAAGCCAGTGAGTCTCAGTTTGAAAAATTAAATAATTATATCGAACACCACACAAGGGTTAAATAAATGCCATGGTTATTTTTTTATTAAATTTTGCATGTCTGTACTATTAAGTTATATATTGGTAATATGCGTTGCTTGTTCCATATTCATTGTTAAAGCAAAACTTGTTTGAGTTCATATTAAAATGTTCAATTGTTTATGTTGGCCCGTGACTTTGTTCAGATTTTAAATTTTGGCCCACTGTGCATTTGAGTTTGACACCCCTGATATAAAGCCATTAGTATGTTATTTTTGAATTTGCTGCCTAGTACTAAAGGTGGTCCTTGGGAATAACATTTAGCTGAAAACATGACAAGTAACAAACATCCAAAAATCACAATGTTGTTTTCGATGCATTATCTTAATCAACCATGTGCTATATAAACTGTCTGATCAACATCCCAGATTTATTAACAAACGATGGTCTGGTTTGTCTGGTAATACAGAATGTTTGCAAAAAAAAAAGTTTCCTTAGGATTTAGCAAGACAAATTTAGGAAAAATCTAGGACAGCATCTGAAAAATTAATCTCTGCCCCCAAGCTCATCATTCAACAATTAATTGAAGCCTCATTAGTGCTGGTTGGAATGAATTAGGTGCAGAAAAAAATGAACTAAAATATTTTAAAGTATAGATGCACATATTACAAGCCTCTCTATAAAGTAACTCACCATCCAGCATAGGAATGACAGTCTTCCTCAGTGCAAGTACCAACCCCAGCAGTGAACCGAAGAGGAAAAAGTCGGACACCTCAAAGTCAAACTTCCCCAGGGAGCCTCCATCCAGCATGGTGTTGCTACTGGACCTGCGAGAAGCTGCATCATTCCGCAAGACACGGGAGTGTAAGCTGGAAGAACATCACAAAGTCACTCCCTCCTATAAAGCTAAAAATAAATCACATTCTGACAGGACATGAAACCAAGGACTAAGTTCTTTTTTTAAGCTTCCTGGTACAAACTCTTTGTGAATGTACCTGGTAAAAAAGGCCAGGTGTTGTTTTAGGGTTTCCTGTTCATAAGTGGAGAAATCACTTTTCTTGCGTGGCATTTGTCTCTTGGTGTCGTCAGTGGCGCCTGCCCGGGGGATGTCGATGTCGATGTTGCTGCGACTGAGTTGGTGGCTGTCCTCCAGGGTGGGAGAAGATGAGCCATGCCCACTGTTAACAATGATTCCAGGGGAAACAAGGTCCTGATCCTGCAGGAGGAAGTGTGAAAGAAATGTAAACAATAACTGAAATCATGTGTAACAGTATTCACAGAAGACACAGAATATTCAGTCATAGCTGTACACTGACCATGCTGCCCCTGCGGCTGCTGTTCTGACTTTCATTAACCATCTTGGTGCTGCTGCAGAGAGCATCAAATCCCAGGATTCCTCCCACACAATCTCCAATAAGACAAACCTAAAGAGTTAGGACGCAACATTTGTTGACTACGTTTTATCACCATATACAGTGGTATGAAAAGGTTTGGGCACCCCTGATCATTTTCAAGATTTTCCTTTATGTATCATTGGTTGTTTGGAACAGCAATTTCAATTAAATATATCATATAGCACACAAACACAGTGATACTTAAATACTTGTCTTTATTTGTCATTGTGACACAGCACAGCACAGCACACCATGCACAACGAAATTTAACCTCTGCATTTAACCCATCACCAAAGTGAACAGTGGGCAGTCTTCAGAGAAGATGCAAAAGGGAGAACAACTTGCAACTGGCCACCTTAAATACCCTTTCTCATGATTGGCTTCACCTCTGTATGTAGGTCAAGGGTCAATGAGCTTACCAAACAAATTTTGTGTTCCAATAATTAGTGCTAAAGGTATTCAAATCAATAAAACAACAAGGGTGCCCAAATTTATGCACATGCCTACTTTTGTTTAAGTAATTATTGCACACTTTCGGTAAATCCTATAACCTTCATTTCACTTCTTAAATATCACTGTGTTTGTGTGCTATATGATATATTTAATTGAAATTGCTGTTCCGAACAACCAATGATCCATAAAGGAAAATCTTGAAAATGATCAGGGGTGCCCAAACTTTTTCATACCACTGTAGTTGGGGATTACTTGAGAGGAGAGAAAGGCAAGTTAATGTTGTTAAATTGCATTTACGTATAAATAATTAATACAGCCAAATAATTTTATCATTCACAGTTGCTTTATTAACATTTTAATTTTAAAAGTCCATTACCTACTGGCTATTATTACACAGACAGACAAACTACTAGTCATGGTTTGGGAGGATGTCATCACACTTCTCATTTAAAAAAATCCTTTTAATGCTTGATAACACTATTTATGGTGTTTAATTAATTTGTTAATGCCCTAATTAAATGTTGGTATGCCCAGCCTCATCTTCTTTTTCTTTCGGCTTTGTCCCTTTTTTTTCAGGGGTTGCCACAGCAAATCATTGATTTCCATCTCTCCCTGTTCTCTGTATCTTCTACTCTGACTCCAACTATCTGCATGTCCTCCCTCACTGCATCCATATATCTCCTCTTTGGTCTTCCTCTCTTTCTCCTACCTGGTAGCTCCATCTCTAACATTCTTCTACCAATGTATCCACTGTCCCTCCTCTGCACATGTCCAAACCATCTCAATCTGGCTTCTCTAGCTTTTTCTCCAAACCTTCCTGTCTGTGTTGTCCCTCTAATGACCTCATTCCTGACCCTGTCCATTCTTGTCACTCCTAAAGAGAATCTTAGCATCTTTAACTCTGCCACCTCCAGCTCCTCCTCCTGTCTTCTGCCTATTGCTACTGTCTCTAAACCATACATCATGGCTGGTCTCACCACTGTCCTGTAAACCTTTCCCTTCACCTTAGCTGACACTCTTCTGTCACAGATCACTCCTGACACTTTTCTCCAGCTGTTCCATCCTGCCTGTACTCTATTCTTCACCTCTCTTCCACAGTCTCCGCTGCTCTGAACAGTTGATCCTAAGTACCTAAACTCCTGCACCTTCACCACCTCTGCTCCTTGTAGCCTCACTATTTCACTGTTCTGCCTTTCGTTTACACACATGTACTCTGTCTTGCTGCGACTGACCTTCATTCCTCTTCTTTCTAGTGCAAACCTCCACCTCTCTAGGTTCTCTTCTAGCTGCTGCCTACTCTCACTACAGATCACAATGTCATCTGCAAACATCATAGTCCATGGGGACTCCTGTCTGACCTCATCTGTCAATCTGTCCATCACCACAGCAAACAAGAAGGGGCTCAGGGCCGATCCTTGATGTAGTCCCACCTCCACTTTGAAGTCTTCTGTCCTCCCAACAGCGCACCTCACTACTGTTGTACTATTCTCATACATGTCCTGCACCAAACTAACATACTTCTCTGCCACTCCTGACTTCCTCATACAAAACCACAATTCCTCCCTTGGCACTTTGTCATATGCCTTTTCTAGATCTACAAATACACAATGCAGCTCCTTCTGACCTTCCCTGTACTTCTCCATCAACATCCTCAAGGCAAATATTGCATCTGTGGTACTCTTCCTAGGCATGAAACCATACTGTTGTTCACAAATCTCCACTTCCTGCCTCAACCTAGCTTCAACTACTCTTTCCTAAATCTTCATTGTATGGCTCATCAACTTTATCCCTCTGTAGTTGTTACAACTCTGTGCATCACCCTTCTTATGAATTGGCACCAGAACACTTTTTCTCCACTCATCAGGCATCTTGCCAGTCTCTAAAATTCTGTTAAACAAACCAGTCAGGAAATTTACTGCCACTTCTCCTAAACACTTCCATACTTCCACTGGTATGTCATCAGGACCAACTGACTTTCCACTCTTCATCCTCTTCAGGGCTTTTCTAACTTCATCCTTTCTAACCTGATCTACCTTCTTCCTACTAGTCTCTGGCTCCTCGTTTCTACTTTCCCTTTCATTTTCCTCATTTAACAACTCCTCAAAGTATTCCTTCCATCTTCTCAGCACACTTTCCTCACTTGTGATCACATTCCCCTCTCTGTCCTTAATCAACCTCACCTGCTGCACATCCTTCCCAGCTTGATTTCTCTGTCTCGCCAATCTATACAACTCCTTTTCTCCTTCCTTTGTTTCCAAACTCTCATACAACTCCTCATATGCCTTTTGTTTGGCCTTGGCCACTTCCCTCTTCACCTCCCTTGTCCTCTCTTTGTACTCCAGTCTGTTCTCTTCTGTTCTGTCACTGTCCCATCTCTTCTTCGCTAATCTCTTTCTCTGCACACTCTCCTGGATCTCCTCATTCCACCACCAGGTCTCTTTGTCCTCCTTTCTCTGCCCAGAGGACATACCTAGCACCTTCCTACCTGTCTCCCTCATCACTGCAGCTGTAGTCTCCCAATCATCTGGGAATATCTCAACACTACCCAGAACTGCCCTTACTTCCTTCCTGAAGTCTTCACAACATGTCTCTTTCCTTAGTTTCCACCACTTGATCTTCTGCTCTGTCTTCACTCTCTTCCTTTTTGTCACCTCCATCGTCATTTTACACACTACCATCCGATGTTGTTTGGCTACACTCTCACCTGCCACCACCTTACAGTCTCTAATCTCCCTCAGATTACATCTTCTACATAGAATATAATCTATCTGTGTGGACCTGCCTCCACTCTTGTAAGTCACCCTATGTTCCTCTTTCTTTTGGAAATATGTGTTTACCACAGCCATTTCCATTCTCTTTGCAAAATCTACCACTGCCTGTCCTTCTACGTTTCTCTCCCTAACACCAAACCTGCCTATCACTTCCTCATCTCCTCTGTTCCCTTCCCCTACATGACCATTTAGGTCTGCTCCAATCACCACTCTCTCTCTCCTGGGGATACTCTCTACCATCCAATCTAGCTCCTTCCAGAACTTCTCCTTTTCTTCCAACTCACAGCCCACCTGTGGGGCATAACCACTAACAACATTAATCATCTCTCCTTCTACTTCTACCTTCACACACATCAACCTGTCTGACTCTCTTTTCACCTCTACCACATTTCTTACATATTCTTCCTTTAGGATCACCCCTACTCCATTTCTCTTCCCATCTGAACCATGATAAAACAGTTTGTAGCCTCCTCCAATGTTTCTAGCCTTACTGCCCTTCCACCTGGTCTCCTGCACACACAAAATATCTACTCTTCTTCTCTCCATCACATCAGCTATTTCTCTACTTTTCCCTGTCATTGTACCTACATTCAAAGTTCCAAACTTCAGACTAACACTTCTATTCTTCATCTTTTCTCTTTTTCTCCTAACCAAACGCCCTCCTCTTCTTCTCTGTCTCTGACTCTGTCTCTGACCAACAGTAGTCCAATTTCCATCAGTGCCCTGTTGGTCAACGGCACTGTTGGCGGTCGTTGTTAACCCGGGCCTCGACCGATCCGGTATAGAAATCGTTTAAATGAAGTATAAAGTGTACTGCATGCTGTTTTCTGCAGGGATACTTCCCTTTATATACATTTTCACTTTTTTTCTTTGATTTTTCACACGGACGCTGAAAGATGTTTAACCCATTCAATATCCTATTTGAACAATTTGTGTGAATAAAAATTAAACATTTGTCCCTTCTTTTTAACGAATAAAATTTTGGAATCAATAGTGGAAATTTTGAATGTGTTAAGTTTTTTGAATTTGCATAATCATTTTTTTTTTTTGCAACAATGAAATGGACAACAAACACAATAACTATATTTACTTTAACATCTCTAAAGGAGTGGCGCTTTGGCCCAGAGGCAATGTCTCTGTCATTGGTGTGGAACCCCAGGGTTCACCTCCTGGGCAAGTTCGAATCCCGGTTAGGGCGGTTGGTACCTTCCAGTGGACTCACCACCCGCAGGAAGGTTTGGGGGGTTGGTACGGTGCAATGTGATTTGGGTGGCGACTGCTGCCCCCGCGACCCGGTAATGGATAAGCGGATGAAAATGGATGGATGGATGGATGGATCTCTAAAGGACAGTTACTGACCTGACCAGAGAAGGTGAAGCCATTCAAAGACTTTATGAAATCAGAATACACCTGATTGGCTCTGACCATGACAGTGGCCACGGCCTCCTGGTACTGTGGAGCAGAGGTGGCCAGGAGGGGCAGAGCTGCCAGTGGGATATGATCCTGGCTGGACAGACATCCCTCATCGTAGCTGTAGGGGCTCAAACTATAAAAACGTAGACACAAATACAACCATCAATAAAAAAATACTTGTTATTGTAATATCCTCAGCCTTCACAAACTATGTTCGCTTACTTGGACACCAGGGAAAAGGCCTCAGCACAGATGGCAGGGCAGGGCACCAAACGGATGGCGATGCGTCCCAACGCAGCAGGATAGTGAACGCGCATGACCGTGTCAAAAGCTGTGCTAATGGTGTTGACGTCTGCCTGCTTGCTGTTCTGGTCTCCTCCTCCTGTATCAAGGATGTTCCCTCCATGCAGGACTAAGATCAAAACATGGAACTTGGAAGGCTGTAGGCACTGCTGTGAAAAACTCTCCTGAAAATAGTGAATGAAAAGAGTGGTGGATGGTTGGGGTATATCAGGGACCATGACATGTGAGAAGACCGTAAAATGACAGTTGCATGCTGAGCCAGAGGGATACAAGTAACAGATAAACAAAAAAAACCCCTCTGCAACTGGACATCAAAATACTTTAATCAGATCAAGTTCACAGATTTGGACTAATGGGGTTCTTTCCACAACCACAGCAAAAACCGAAACCATGAGAGGGAACAGAACAAAGCCAACTAGGCGGTGACCCACAAAAAGTCTTTCAGAAATTGAATTCCACTTCGATGTCTGCGAACTACACAATCTTTAGTTCATAAAAAGAAGGTGTTATGTTAAGCTTACAGCAAAAACGTTCCTGCCCATTTTTTATAAGGAGGCATTTTATACAGAACTAGCGTCTTCAGGGCGCAATAAGATTTTGGTGCGCGAGAGGTGGCACAGTTGACATGTGACCGGACTACACCAATAGGGTAGCAGCTTTTGATAAACAGAAAAGCAAGAGGGCTGCCTGCGTAGTTTCATCTAGCAGTACCAAAGAAGAGGAAAACTCACCAAAAATGAGTAAAATAACGAAATCTTCAGGATATAACAGTGCTATATGCACATAGCCTCTGTGAAGCACGAAAAAATTCAGGATTTCACACTTGCACAGTGGAATACGTACAACAAGAGTCTACAACAGTGGCTTGGGTTGAGGGGTGAGTGTCAATACGTAGCTGAAAACTAGAAACACTGCCTGGATTTGGAGTTTGAAAGCATTCCTGAGAACACTGCTTTCCATCCCACATGCTACTGGAGGTTTATTGACAAGAGTGAAATTGCAAAAGTGAAAAGGCATCTTGAGCGTGAGAGAGAAAGCAGAGGATACGGAAGACCACTCAAGAAGTGAGGCCATCCCATCAACATTGAGCAGGATGACTCCGTGTACGAGAAAGAAACGTAGACCCAGGTCAGGCCCGCCTATCACGAGCTCTGGCCCCATCCTTCCAGCCACGTGCATAATATGCCAGAAAAAGGACAAATACATCGTAATGCAGACCTTAAAGGAGTGGGCAAAAACCTAAACTTGTACATAACACATAGGGATCAATGTCACTGTGTGACTGTAATGGAGGGTGTACAATCTGTTCATGCTGTTGAAGACCTGCAGTTTGATCATGAAGAATGTGTTTTTGCATGCACAGCATGCTGCACAGGAGCACACAACTGTCATCATTAAGAGCCCTGACACTTATGACGTTTGGTTAGGAGGAAAAGAGAAAAGAGGAAGAATAGAAGTGTTGGTCTGAAGTTTGGAACTCTAAATGTAGGGACAATTACAGGGAAAAGTAAAGAACTAGCTGATATGATGGAGAGAAGAAGAGTAGACATTTTGTGCATGCAGGAGACCAGGTGGAAAGGCAGCAAGGCTAGAAACATTGGAGGAGGCTACAAACTGTTTTATCATGGTTCGGATGGTAAGAGAAATGGAGTAGGGGTGATCCTAAAGGAAGAATATGCAAGAAATGTGGTGGAGGTGAAACAAGAGTCAGACAGGTTGATGTGTAAGAAAGTAGAACTAGGAGTGATAATGTTGTCAGTGGTTATGCCCCACAGGTGGGCTGTGAGTTGGAAGAAAAGGAGAAGTTCTGGAATGAGCTGGATTGGGTGATAGAGAGCATCACCAGGGGAGAGATATTGGTGATTGGAGCAGACTTTAATGGTCATGTAGGGGAAGGGAACAGAGGAGATGAGGAAGTGATGGGAGGGTTTGGTGTTAGGGAGAGAAACTTGGAAGGACAGGCAGTGGGAGATTTTGCAAAGAGAATGGAAATGGCTGTGGTAAACACATATTTCCAAAAGAAAGAGGAACATAGGGTGACTTACAAGAGTGGAGGCAGGGCCACACAGATAGATTATATTCTATGTAGAAGAGGTAATCTGAGGGAGATTAGAGACTGTAAAGTGGTGGCAGGCGAGAGTGTAGCCAAACAACATCGGATGGTAGTGTGCAAGATGATGATGGAGGTGAAAAAAGTGAGTAGAGAGTTAAGACAGAACAGAAGATCAAATAATGGAAACTAAGGAAAGAGAAATGTTGTGAAGACTTCAGGAAGGAAGGAAGGGCAATTCTGGGCTGTGTTGAGGAATTCCCAGATGATTGGGAGACTACAGCTGCAGTGATTAAGGAGACAGGTAGGAAGGTGCTCGGATTGTCCTCTGTGCAGAGAAAGGAGGACAAAGAGACCTGGTGGTGGAATGATGAGGTCCAGGAGAGTGTACAGAGAAAGAGATTAGCTAGGAAGAGATGGGACAGTGAGAGAACAGAAGAGAACAGACTAGAGTACAAAGAGAGGACAAGGGAGGTGAAGAGGGAAGTGGCCAAGGCCAAACAAAAGGCATATTGAGGAGTTGTACGAGAGTTTGGACACAAAGGAAGGAGAAAAAGAATTGTATAGATTGGCGAGACAGAGAAATCAAGCAGTGAAGGATGTGCAGCAGGTGAGATTGATTAAGGACAGAGATGGGAACGTAATCACAAGTGAGGAAAGTGTGCTGAGAAGATGGAAGGAATACTTTGAGGAGTTGTTAAATGAGGAAAATGAAAGGGAAAGTAGAAACGAGGAACCAGAGACTAGTAGGAAGGAGGTAGATCAGGTTAGAAAGGATGAAGTTAGAAAAGCCCTGAAGAGGATGAAGAGTGGAAAGTCAGTTGGTCCTGATGACATACCAGTGGAAGTATGGAAGTGCTTAGGAGAAGTGGCGGTAAATTTCCTGACTGGGTTGTTTAACAGAATTTTAGAGACTGACAAGATGCCTGATGAGTGAAGGAAAAGTGTTCTGGTGCCAATTTATAAGAAGGGTTATGTACAGAGTTGTAACAACTACAGAGGGATAAAGTTGATGAGTCATACAATGAAG